GGTAGTTCCATCGCAATTTCATATCCTCTTCGACATAAGTTAGAACTAGATCTTTCAGATTGATATTATATTAACATCATAGATGGTGTCCATAGTTCCTTAGGTTCTTACTAGAGGCTCAACACCACTCAAAGAAATCAGCTTATGGCCTCCATGCTTTATAGACTTCGTTGTATATTTTGCGTTGACTTGCTAATTAGGACATCGTTTGACATATTGTTTTTCCTTACCAGAGTCGAACTGAACAGTCTGTCTCATCGGTCCATAGAATGTTGTACCAAAATGTCATAGGTTCGTTTATAAACTTCGGCTGACTTTGAAAACTAGCTCCAATTTTTTTTTTCAAGTTGGTACAATTGTCGTGAGAACACAAGTCATTCTGTCAATTAATTCTTTGTTTACAAGCCATTTAAAGTTGACGAGTCAGAGTATTATTTTAATATGGAAAAAATTTAATATCGTGTAGTGATTAGATTCTTTGTTTTGAAAGGTTTAAAAGCAATGAAAATTTATGAACAATTGTTAGAACTGTATAAGGATTCCTCACCTTCAAAACGCACCGTTGGATTTTGGACTGGTGAATTTAAACGTGATCGTACTAGGCTTGAAGATGATCCACGCGAATAACGATCGAAAATCACAACCACACCCGAAATCATTGAGCAAGTTCATAATATTGTTAGTGAAGATCCTTTCGTAATTTTATAAATATGGATAAGAGTTGTATCTACCACCATGATCCTTAATTGAAACAAGAACGTTTACAGTGGACTGAAGCTGGTTGTTCAGCTCCAAAGCAGGTGAAGTCACAACGATCAGCAAAGAAGATCATGGCATCAGTTTTTTGGGATCCGAAAGGAATTTTGTTGATTGGTTATTTGCAGAAAGTTAAAAAACAATCAACTGAATATTATTGCAGCCGTTTGGATCAGCTGGATGAAAAATTTGTGAGAAAAAACCTTGTTTGCAGCACAAGAAAATCATTTTTTATCAAGATAATGCACCTGCTCACAAAAGTGTTTTAACAATGAAAAAATTCAACGAATTAAAGTACGAATTGCTTGAGCATCTACCGTATTCACCAGATCTGGCTCCTAGCGACTACTATCTTTTCAGAAACCTGTCACAAGTGGAACGCGTTTTTCGTCGAATGAAGAAGCTATTACAGCCGTAGACGGGTATTTAGCAGAGCTTCCGGCAAGTCATCATAGGGAAGGCATACAATTATTGGAAGATCGTTGGAATAAGTGTATTGAAGTTAAGGGAGATTATATTGAATAAAAAAATATATTTCGTACCAAAAACAGTATATTTTTATTTCGAGCGCAGAAGCTTCAACCAACCGTATACGAACAAAGTACAATATAATGTTCTGCAATGCATCCAAAGTATTTTTGACATTGCATAATGTTTCGAAGCATCACAAATAAAGTTGATGCTTTTTAACATTTTCATATTGTAACGGATTTCTCGATAAATCGTTTATTTTGTAACTCACTCTTGACTTCGATCACTGGATTGTTATATAAAAGTCCCAATTTAATGACTATACATATATTTATTTCTTATCCAAACAACTTAACGTTTTACTACTTTTTATCCTATTACACAACTTCTTACTTATATCTTAATTACTCTTTACACGGCAACACTCTAACTAGAACTGTCTCTGCAAAACATCGCCTCTTGAACATTCTGGCAACTACGAATTCGCTAACTAGTTGATTCTGATAATTTATCGTCGATTCGATTTGGTTCTATCATCCGTATTGTGACGAATATTCAAAGATGGCCAGATTGATAAGTTTTTATTAGTTGTTTTATTAATTTATACTAAATTTGCATTAAATTCAGAGATATTTGTTTTTATATATTTTTTTATCTTATACGAAATAACTTATTGCGAAAGTAAACTTTGCAGTAAAAGTGTTCTGTAACGTCAAATTATACAGCGCATCGTTCTGCAATGTTGTTTTACGTTGCAAACCAATGATGTATAAATATTAGCAAACGGAAATTCCTTGAAAATGGTAACCATATTACAAAAATTCAATATATAAATGAGAGATAAAAAATCGATTTGGGACGTGGAAAGATACCGTTAGATTTACCAAAAAATACGTTTATTTAAATAAGTGCACAATATATTGCGACAAAATGATAAGGTCGGTAATTTTGATAACGAAATTTTTATTTCAATTGTAACTTTTTTAATTTATTCAATTTCCATTATTTTCAATTGTTTTATAAACTTTGTTGGGCATGGAATTTATAAGGTTTTACATTACGTCAGAGCGGATTTGTCACCAAATGTTGCGAATTGCCACATTTAGTTCTTCAATTGATCCGTTGTTTATTTTCGGCATACACCTGGCGAACTAGCAGTCTGCATAACATTCATATAGAGATGACGTGTTGGCCAGTCAAGAAATTCAATATTGTGGTCCTCAAACCACTGCCTTGTGTAAAATGCTGCGTTATCTTGTGCAAAAATGAATGAAAAATTACTTTTTGTCGGAATTTTCAGCAAGATAAGGCATCAAACCGTCAGAGAGAACACTCTGATACTCCAAGTTGTTCATCCGATTTGATGAAAGGTGAAGTTCTAAGGTACCACTGGAACTGAAAGCGCCCCACACCATCAACGAACCTTCGCCCAAAATCCCGCTTCGAAAAGCACAATGGTTCCTTACGTAAATGTGGCCAGTAATAGTTGAAAATGTCTGGTCCATCAAGATTAAATTTTTTCTCATCAAAAAAAATTATCTGAAAAATAATATGTGCATTAAATTAAACGTACTTGTATTTATAAATTTTTTGCCTGATGCCAGTTGGTTCTCATATTCCTTTTAGCGAACTTCTTGCGCTAACTTGTGTGCTTTAGTTAAATACGGTACTTTTTTTTTAGATCGTACAACGTCTGGTTGAGCATTGATAGATCTCTGAATTGTCCTAATGGATGCCATTAGTGAAATAGCACGGGTTTCACGCGTAGGGTGCGTTCGAGCTACGTAATAATTGCAGCAGTACAGCTACTGTGTTGCATATTTGCTAATACTCCTCTGATGTGCAGACAAAAATTTAGTGTTGCCGATTATTTGTATAAATTGCGTACAAAAAATGACAGCAGAACGTGATGCTGTTGCAGGTGTTGCTAAAAATTCACCCAGAACGTGATACTTTGACAAATTTGCAACACTGCTGTCGTGATTGCCATCTCGAACGCACCCGTAGTTAGACTCTTTGGCCGACTTATAGTTTTTAATTTCCGGTAATTTGCACTGTTTTTGACATAATTTTGTACGACGCACAAAGATTTATACAAACTTTTGGCAATTTCTATCATGCTTATTTTCTGAGTATACAAAGCAGAAATTTGTCCTTGTTCATAGCTAGAGAGCGACTTACCACGTTCCATTTCGTCTTTTTAATACTCAAATTTTGAATACAAAAGCTTTCTGTATCGAAACTAATATCAAACGCACTAATCAGACTGACTTTATCATTTTGTCGCAATGTATTGTTCACTTATATAAATAAACGCACTTTTCTTAAATCTAACGGTATCTTTCTACATACCAGAGCGGGTTTTTTCATTCTCATTTAAATATAAATTTTTTAAATATGGTTACCATTTTCAAGGAATTCCCGTTTACTTAATGTGTGTAATGCCACAAGTCCCGACTATCTTCTAACACGTATACACAAGCTATAATTATTTCCAAATTTCTAGGTGACTTTAATCCTTTATGTTGGCCAATATATATAATACTTTATTGTGTACATAACCATAATGTGGATTAGCGCTGAATATAAATGAACTTGGACTATATCCTGGTTTAAGTCTCTTATCCTTTTTATAATCCCTAACCTCCCTGGTGTTGTGGAATCCAAGACAGGTTTGCGTAGTTGTCAGACACGTGTTGTTATCGTCAGAATAAAGACGCATTTGGGTGTTAAATTACATTTGTTACGTTTTGTAAATCCTCTTAAAATATCTGGATTTTGTCCCATAAACTCAATAATTATGACATTTTTTTTTTTATTCTTATGTTTTCCCCTATTGAAATAACGATTAATTAAATCGTAACAATATTACAAATTATTTTCTTAATTTACATTTCAAATCTGTCAGCGAATATCCTGTTGCTTTGTTTCTGATAACAAAACCGATAAAATTTTGGTTTCTGTGACACCCAAAACCGATAAAATTTCAGTTTCAAACGTCAAACCTATCTGAAATAAATATCTGCATTCATGACACCTGCTATATTTTCTTATCGGTTTCAGTTCTGGTTCCGACTACTACCAGATTCTGCAACACCCCTGAATGATTTTCGTTTCACTGGTTGATTTTTTTTCTCATATACCCCATACATTAAATTAATTTTTATATGCAAGCGATTTATGGGAAACCAGAGTAATTCTACTGAACTGAAAAAGGTAGGGACCATTTTACGACTGCGATAGTTAAGTAGCTCTCCAGACACATACATACACTCTCAAAAAATAAATCGTTAGAATTTGTAGTTTTGCCGATTACTTATATAGGTACAGTGTTGGACAAAACAAATTGAACTCATACCTACGAATTACTTGTAATTTCTTTCGTATAAACTGTAAAATATTAAAATAATTATAAGCTTTTTTTTTATTGTTTCACTACATAAATATCTTTATATTTAAATAAAAATATTTAATCTTTATATTTAAGTACTTTTTTTATATCCGAAATTGTCATTTGGAGTATATGATATGTTTTTCATAGCCATTAATAATCCAATATGTTTGGTCCGACACTATAGATCAAAATATTTGAGATTAGAAATTAGCCACCATATTATTTTAGCGACACATTAATTATTAAATTTCATTGGTCGAACATACTACATATAAATACTTTCGTATATACACAGAAACAATTGAGTTATCTAATTTCGTTATACGCTTTTTTTTTACATCGCTTGTATAACGCGTTGATTCGTACTGATATTTTCTAGCCCAACAAGCTGAATTCCAGTCGTCAGCACAGAATTTTGTGCCAAATAACTTTATGAGAGCTACTATTCAAGAATTCTTACCCGAAGTGCCCGGCCGTATACAAACGACAAACAATATTGATGAACTTTATTGTATTGTCAAATATCTGTTGCAAGCGTTTAAAGTATGCTTGTCTACAGAAATGGTTACCAAGAATAATTCTTTAGCTAATGCATCCACAGAGGAGATGGTGGCAAGAGTTGGCGTTAATCACGAAATGCAACAAGAAAAACTTGATATTGATCAAGAAAATTTTAATGTTGATGTTTTTAATGTTGGAGTTGACACTACTGCAAACGAAAATATAGAAAAGTCATATTTGATAGGCGGAAAAAGAAGAGCAGACAACAAAATGCTACTACCCAAAAACATCGATTTAGCAACAATAAATCAGTCCAAGTTATTAGATTTACCAGACTTATTCACAGATGTAATACCTGCTTCACTGGACCAAGAGATGCCAATGTCGACTACTTCCAGAACTCCTTTTAAACGTAAAAAAACTAATTGTAGCGTTACCTATCAGAATCAAGTTTCTGGAGTTGCAAAACTTGACATTATTCCAAATCTGGTTGGAGCAAATATAACGGAGCGGGAATATGCATTAAGAAAACCCTTATCAATGCGAAGTTGTTTAAAAATTGTTCCGAAAGACCATACAATCATCAGTATTATGCGCAAAATGACGTATATTTTTTTTCCATTGGAAGACATATGTGCAAACGCTGGTATGGAGGAAGATATGCATCAAATTCTACTATTTGCTGAAGATCATTCGCAGCTAGAATATGGTAGTGCTGGAACATCGACAAGCATCAATGTTGCACGCCAACATGTGGCGGCGTCATCGATTTCGGGCTTACCTTCAATACAATTGGTGCAATCACACTCGGACGGCCCATCAATGCAAACTTTCGATGAGCAATTCAATACACCGGAGGAGATTACAGATTTTTTGCCACGACATACAGAAACTACCGGGTACAAACTTACTTTCATTCAAATATAAATAAATTTTATTGAATGCAAATAGCCTAACTTAAGCATGATAAATAGGTTCGAGCTATGGTATTACGGTGAAGAAAGTTTTGATAGTATTAAACTATGTGATCACTTTCTGACAACAAGGCCATTTTCTTACCAAAGTTCTGGTGTGAGAGAAATATGGGGGACATATTCTAGTTAGAACTATTTCTTCCCTTAATTGGCCACCGTTGCGGTTAATACACTAGTAAATTTGATAAATCATGATCATATCGCCTTGCTTTCAATACTTCAATATTTTATTATCCTAAATACAACTTTAACATATCTATTACCATCTGTAATATTTATATTAGCATAGAAGTACTGAGCATTTCGCATTACTTTTGTTGTGCGAAGCATTGCTTTATGCATTCACTTCACTTGCAATCATGTATCATGCTTGTAACTACAGTATATTTCAGTTTTCTGGTTTTAATGAATGCATTTTTTATAATTTATCTACATTACGACAGTCAAAAGGAATGGAGTGGCAGTTTGCCTGAACCATCGACTGACATTACATTTTTTACGCCGTATCCGACGTCAATCCCCGCAGGAATATCGTCACGCTCGGATGACTATCATTTAGAAAGTGCTCAAAAGATAAAGCTTATTTCAGGCCCTTCAATGGCCCAACGCACAGAACCATCGACATCTAGAACTGGAACTTTACCATCAATTCGGGAGGAGGAATTTCGACGAACCCTCATAAGGAGAACTCTTCGCGACAGCGACATATCTTCGACGCCATTACGTCCCTTAGATGGTATAGCTGTTGAAGGGAGGGAATTACCGCATTTTCAAAGTTGTCCAAGTGAGGGCAGCACCGAACTCGCCAGTGGTGATAATATACAAAGTGCAGCAGCTGGTTTAATGTCGATGGTAAACCAACGTGTGCAAACATCTGCGCTTGGGGTCGCAGAAGCTTTTGAATCAGTTAAACAAACGGCTATAGTTCAATCATCACAACACCAAAAGGCTGTTGAAAGAAAAACAGATAAGACAATTTTTGGATCACTGCAACTGGTCCAAATATCTGAGGAGTTAGACACTATAAATGAACCCAGGAATTGGTTGGAAGTACTACGTGAACGGCAAGTCGATCTACAATATAATAAATTTGGAATCCTACCAAAAAAACGCAGAAGATGCCAGAAGCGCCGAGCCCCGCAGAACTTAAAATTAACACATGCTTTTTATGTGGGTGATCAAAATAATATCACAGAAATATTTCAAAATGTATCGCCATTACCCAGTCAGTTACCAGTGCAACTGGAATCGACAGTAGACGTCACACATATGCGCAATTTGAATAATGTAAACGAAACACCACTGACAGTTATACAGCAGCCATCTTACGAACAATTTGTATATGAGCACATCGAGTCGATTTCGACAATCATGGATAATCTAGTCGAATTGCAAGGTGTGTTAAAAGCTTGCAATCGAGATAGTGAAGACAATACATCAACTGCATTACTGCCCGCGTATTATGCCTACGACGTGGATACGCTTCTAAAAGCTGACATAACGCGCTTGCAGCTTAAAATAAATATATTGCAAGAAATTATTCGCAATGTGTCCTTTAATGTGATGAAGAGCCGTTTATTGAAAAACAGAAGCCTTGCTGCGGTTGCATTCAATTTTTTAATAGAACTCGAATCAGCCGGGATCATACGAATAAAGGGGAATGGGCATTGGGTGGGATTAATTTAACTGTACGCTCACAGTGCGCATTTTTTACGATTAGTCCGTTTTTTTAATAATGAATGTTCCCAACTTTAGAAACAATCGTCTAAATATAGTAGGAAAACTACCGTAGTAAAATAGCTGCAATGTGTTTTTGTTTTAGTTATTTCTCAACACTTTGTTTTTTATTTATGATAATATGTTTCTTAAAGTAACATGTTTAGCGAACACAGGAATATATTTAATAAATGCAGAAATATTAAATTAAAAACTTAAAAAAATTTTGCGCCTAGAAAATAGCTATATGTGCAAAAGTGCATTTTTGACGAGATATTTTGTTAAAAAAAAAAATCAATCAGGTTTTAATGGTTATATAAATAAGAAATAAATTGGCCTGTGTGAATTTGTGCTAAGGGGCGGGCCTCTCTATCAACACGATGTTATGTATTTCGAAAAAAAAAACCTTTATGTGCTACATGTATTGGTGCGTTGTCGTATTGCAATATCCAGTTTTCGCTTTGCAGTACTTCGCCGAACGGGATAAGCTCACTTTCCAGCAGCTCTACATATTTTTCCGCATTAATACGAGTAGCTACAAAGCATATCTCGGACTTTCCTTTATGCTTGCGCTTGTGGCAAGTCTGCCGAGGATAGCGGGTATCACTCCAATATTTTGGTGACCATCAGGATCATCTAAATTAAATTTTGTTCATCGCTAAAAATAACAGAATTGAATTCGTCTTCCCAAAATTTGTACTTTTCATAACAAGCAATGCGCGCATTTTTATGGCGTTGGGTGAGACGCGGTTTGGGTATTTTATTTTCATATTTCAGGTGGCAATCCTTTCGCAATAATTGGTGAATTCGTTGACGAGTTGATTGCTAGTTCTAGTTAGGTTTTTGAGCAACTCATCATGTCTATCGAACGTAGTCTAATATGCCGTTTTGTGCGTTGACTTATTGTGGGTATAGTTCTCCTACGCTTACGAATTACGTATTTTTCTGGATCTTTTAAAAATTTAGTGATTATATTTCTATGGCGGTTTGTTGCAGTAGCAATTTGTCCAATCTTAGCCCCACCTTCATACATGGTTTTTTATTTTACCTGTTCTTCACCTGAAAGGTCCGTTCCATGAGTGATTCTAAGCTTAAAAATTAAATTTTTCATAAAATGCTGTTAATTTATACCTAATTTTATTCCTTACGCTTTTATTTTCAATAAGGGTTAATTTTGATGAAAGTGTCTTGACGCTGCTACACGTTTGCTGAGTGTTTTTGTGAGTGTGATTATAACAAATTGCACATATAGCTGTTTTCTATGAAATCTTTGACCGTTGTCTTGGTTAACGATGCTTTAGATTAAGTGAGTGATTAAAAATTAACCATTGCGAAACACAAAATACAATCGAAAAAAACTGCATACTCAAGAAAATATGCCGTTAAATGCAAATATTATCCAAGAACTAAGCAAGACAATTTTTGCACTTATAGCTATTTTACTAGGATATATTTTTGCGTGTGGCTATCAGGGTTGCATATGTACACTTAAGATCAAATTTGTGCCGGACTGGCCCATCACCTGATTGTTTCCGACGCCAAAAGTTGGTCTGGCGATTTTTACCATGGAACAACGAGTTTTCTTGGGTGTTTTGTGTTTCCAATGTAATCACGGCTAGGGAAGTGTTTTGGGGAGTCTTTATCACGAACAAAAGTATTTGAGTGAAACAAAGCATTAAGTAAAGATCGTGAAGTCATCGAAAACTTGCCTCATGCGGACGACTCGCATCTGTTAAAGACGATGACACCGAAAAATTTATAAAAACATCAGAGAGATAGCAGATGACCTCAACATCTCTTATGGATCGACTCAACTATTTTGGTTAATGTTTTTACTTGTACCAAACGACGTGAATGCGCCAACGTATTCTCGCACTATTGTGACTGAATTTTTAGCCAAACAGAGGACGGGAGTCATCGCTAGCTTCCTCCTTGTGACTTTCTGTTTGCGAAACGGAAAACCGCTTCGGGGAATGCACCATGAGTTCGTTCACCCAATATATAAAAATCGCGTAAGCAAACAGCTGACAAACTCACAACAATTGACATATGGAGATCAAACTTCACACGAACATAAAAAAGAGATTGTAGTGATCTGGGAAAAAGGTTTATCCATTTAATTTAGGTAATATTTGATTTTGAGAGAATACAACACTACTAGCTTTAGCTTGGTATGTTTTTGTAAACTGAAGAGATGACTACTCGTTTGTACTCATTAGGATCATAGCGGGACCGTTTACTGAGGAGTAATGGTTGTTTGACATTGTTTCTGGTAATTATTTGTGTATATTGCGTTCTCTTTATGAGTCCAGTCAAACTTTTATAGGTAATATCGCTGCTGATACTAAAATTAAAAAAAGAGATTTTTGAGTTATTAAACTCATACATAAGGTCACTATATTTTTGATGTAGTTGGATTTCTTGGCGTAAAATAGGTCCTTTTGAGCATATTTATGGGTATTTTAGGATAAGTAGCTTTGTATTATTGTAAATTTAATTTTTTTTCCAAAGTTGTTGAATTCATTTGTTAGTTTATAAAAATATATGGTATACCTCCACACCACTCAGAAACTAATGTCCTACTGAAATATAATAAACGCAGTATTAGGTGTATGTGTGTCGTAGGTACAGTTCAATAATCGTTCAATAGTATTCATTCAAAATTCCAACTTTTCTGTTTTCCGTCTTGGCTAATAATTTTTGCTAGTTTAGAAGATGTTTGACACAATTTTAGCAACATTACTCAATTTACAATAATGAACGCAATGAAACATTTGTTTTTTATTGAAAGCATGTTATCTTTTTGCGTCTGTTAATATACCAAGTGAAATACAATTTTTATGAAAACAATATAAATGCTGAATTTCAATGCCAGTTATTCTAACTTCGCAGCAAATTTTTAGTACGATAATTCGTATACTTTAAGCTAACAAGCTTTTTAGAATCGATTTTTATTTTTTGTTTATTGTCCTTAAGATATTGTTTTCCATTGTAAAAATTGTTAAAATTACTTTATATTTAAAAATACATAACACTCGTGTTTTAAGAAAATGGAAATCGCACTGGTGGCGGTTTTCGTGGTGGTCGCGGCGGTCGTGGTCTCGGTGGACGTGGCGGCCGTGGACGAAATGTTTTTGGTGGCGATCGTAAAGGTTTCAATGGCGATAGAGATTACAACGATAATGGTTTCAACAATAATAATAAAGGCGAAAATGATGGCGAGCAAAAACAACGAGAGTTCTACATACCTCCGGAACCCACCGACAATGAAGATGAAATATTTAACAGTGGGATTTCATCGGGTATAAATTTCTCCAAATATGACAACATTCCAGTTAGGGTAAGCAACTAATTTGTTTGAGTACTAAATATACTTGTGTTAATGACATTTAAACATTTCATTCGTTGCTTAGATTTCGGGCGAAAACGCTCCATCACCTCTACAGATGTTTGAAAATGCAGGCTTGCGAGACATAATCATGAATAACGTGCGAAAGTCGGGTTATACTGTGCCAACGCCTATTCAAAAAAGCGCTATACCGGTAATAATGGATGGTCGAGATTTAATGGCATGTGCACAAACGGGATCGGGAAAGACGGTGAGTGCAATGGGATTGTGCAATTTGTATATACAGCGTCTACCAATAGGAATAACGTGATTTTGATTTTGGTCGTGGCTGCCATGTTTGTTTATTTTTGTGTAACATTTTTTTAGTATGTTCGGTAAAGTTTGCTATTTCATTATGTCACGTTTTATTTGATACGACGATTGGAAATTGCCCAAGATTGTTACGTAAATTCACGTTTTCCGAAAAATTTACAAATTCATGTTTATCGAAAAATCATCTCCCAAAAATTTACCGTTTCTTTCGAAATGGGACTGGAAATGCCGATTTTTTTTCCCGGAACTTGTTGAAATCGACGCGGCGATGCGCATGGTGCATAGTTTGGCGACTCGTTAATTTCGAGAAATGGCCCAGTTATATGGCCGTCAATATCATCCGTTTAACGCCTCTAGATTATTTTCTCTGGGGGTATGTTGAATCAAAGGTTTACGCCAATCAACCAGCAACGCTCGAGGAGCTCGAAGACAGTATTCAGCGCATTATAGCCGAAATACTGCACCGGGTCTTTGAAAATTGGCGTAATCGGGTGGAGATATGCAAACGGAGCCATGGTGGCCATTTGACCGACATGTTCATCACAAATGGCATAAAATTAACCCATTTCGACCAAATTGGAGTGTTTCATATATTTAATTTTAACATCACGTCGTTCTTGTTGGTAGAAACTATAGATCTCAAACATATTTACTATTATTGGCTTTCACATATATATTTTTTATTTCCGAGCACAGGCTGCATTTTTGCTTCCTATCATTAATGGTATCTTAGGAGGAAGTTGTGATTTGTCGATTGGAAAACCGCAGGCGGTTATTGTTTCTCCAACTCGTGAATTAGCGATCCAGATTTTCTCTGAAGCTCGAAAGTTTGCACTAGGTTCTTATTTGAAAATCAGCATAGTTTATGGTGGCACCTCAAGTAAATATCAAGGCGAAAACATTGCCAAAGGGTGCCACATCTTGATATGCACTCCTGGTCGTTTATTAGACTTTGTTGAAAAGGGTTTTATTACTTTTGAAGAGACCCGTTACGTTGTGCTGGATGAAGCCGATCGTATGATGGATATGGGTTTTAAAGACAATGTTAATACCCTTATGAATCATCCGACAATGCGCCCCATGGAAGAACGTCAGAATTTAATGTTTTCTGCAACATTCCCCGAGGAAATACAACGTTTAGCTGGTGCTTATTTATCAAACTATATATTTATCACCATTGGTGTGGTAGGTGGTGCGTGTTCCGATGTTACACAACAGATTTTTGAAGTTAAAAAGTTTCAAAAACGTGCCAAACTAATGGTAAATTGTATTACTGTTTGTGTTTGTACTGACATTTTATAAAATGAACAACGATTATTCATTTGTTTAGGAATTACTGAGTGAAAGCAGCGATGGAACCATTGTTTTTGTTGAGACAAAACGCGGTGCAGATTTTCTAGCATCTTTACTCTCGGAAACTGA